AACCCACACTGGAGAAACCCCTTTCGAGTGCACTTTATGCAACAAGAAATTTGCTGAAATTAGAACTTTGCGCAGGCACCAACGAACCCACACAGGAGAACGGTCTTTTCAGTGAACTATATTCAACTAGAAGTATGCCCGTTAAAGCCATCTGCCTGTGCATCTAGATGGAGCTCCAAACCACACTCGAGAACAACATTTTTAATGCACTTTATGCAACTAAAAAATTTCTGATACTAGTGGTGAGCGCAGGCATCTCCGAACCTACTTACGGAAGACTGCGTGGCGCAGGCGCATTGTCTGCTAACTGAATGAATAATTATGAAACTACCTCATTAACGTTTTGACGATACTTGCAGTATTTATTCTTGTTGTTTTTTTCAAATAGATTTATCTTTTTGTATTTATGTCAAGGTTTTGTCTTCGATCTATTAAAGTAGATAGTATTGTCCATACATTGTAGACTCAATAATTAGTCTCGTACTGCTAGGCCACATTACAACTGTTTTATTCGATCCCATTCCGGTCTTAGGAAGGTGGCAGCGCCGTGGGGAGTATAGCGAGGGCAGTAGGTCCAGGGGGATTACCGGATTACCGTTAGAGTTTAGGCGCATTGACTGGATGCCGGGTCACCGCCACCAGCACCCAGAAAACCGCTTCTTTGAGGAAAAGTACTGCAAAGAAAATTTCGTGCCAGTAACCATAGTCAAATTTGTCTTTCGGGTAACGATAAAATTTAAGGACACGAAAAATTTGTAAAATGAAACAAATTTGGTTGAGCTGATTTTGGAAAAAATTGCAGTGGAAATTTTGTTGATTACGGCAAAGTCATGACTTCGTTTCCAGAAAGACACGGTTTTCTGAGTGCGGAACAACTTCGTGGCTTACAAGCTAAGGCGAGTTAAAGGAGTTCTTCCTTCTTTTCAGAATTTTGATGTAATGCGGCTACTCTCCGCCGGCGGAGTCATGCAATATGAGACATTCTGTCTGTGAGCATCCACTAGCTACAGTCAGGCAGTCGGCTACATCCGGAGCGGGGGCTCGGGGGCTGTTGTGCCGGATGACGCGGTGCTGACGTTGGGCCTGGTCCAGCTAGCTGACGCGCGCGCGCGCGCGTGTGTGTCGCCCGCCTGCCTGATCTCCTTGTGAGTCACCCACCACAGGTCCACGCCCCGCGCCGGCCGACTGGACCTGCAGCTCTTGCATCGGCCCCGCTGAGTCACCGGACGATCCCGGCCCCAGAGGATCGCTCCAGTGGTGTGGCTCATGGCGGCTCCAGAGCCTCCAGTAGTGGCTCCAGCGACGCGCCGGTGGTCCCTGCCCCCCGGCTCAGGTCAAGGGCCGGGGCGCCGCAGCACGCAGCACGCAGCACGCAGCAGCAAGACGTCGTCCAGCTGGACGTCACGGGGCCCGTACGAAAAAGTTTAGTCCGGCATCAGTCCGTTTTCGGTCCGGAAAGAGTCCGCACCCCTGTGGACTAGTCCGCGTTCGATCCGTCGTGCACCGGACTAGT